ACCGAGGCGGCAGAGGAGCAGGGTGGGCTCCAGGGGCACAGGTGCCGCCTGCCCAAGGCGCTTATCAGTGTCCACGTGCATGGAATGCAGGCTGTGGAGAGTGCCCCTACCCTGCCCACAGCCTCGGGGCGCAGACTCACCCACCGCAGCTCCAGGGCACCCGGGCCCGGCCCCCACCGGCAGCCTGGCGGTCGCGAGGAAGACACCCGCTGGGGGGGGGCCCAGGGCTCCTCCCACAGCGGCCAGGATTGCCCCGGCCCCCCAGGCCCTCTGCCCAGAGATGACCCCGTGCGCCCCCACACTGCCAGCACCTCAAGGAGGACCCACCAGCTCTGACCCACCCTCCTAGAAGGGGCACAGATCCAGACCCTGGGGCAGAGGAGAAGGACCGTTTCGGGAAGGGTCCTCCTGGCCCTGAGGCCCAGGGAAGCGATGCCGGGTCCACACCGGGTCCCCAGCAGTAGCCGCCCCCACCCAGCAGAACCCCGACGGCCCTCCAGAGAAGGGGTTCCCCGCCCACCGCCCTTGAGTGCGAGCCTGTCCCGTGGGCTCACTTCACCCCCGAGGCCCCACCAGGAGACTCCCCACCGCGAGCGGAGCCTGCCTGGGCTGCTCACACAGCGGGGCTTGCCCAGGGCGCCCGTACAGGCCAGGAGCCCCAGAGGGAGGCCCGCCCTCTCATCCCGCCACCCCCACCACCCCGTCCGGAGCTGTGGGCACCTTCTTCCTCCCGGTGTCCAAGCAGAGCTGCTAGGAAGAAACCGCCAGCCCCTCTCCACCAAACGGAAGGGCCTCGGGCCCCGGGCCCCGGGGAAGGCGGGTGAGGGAGCCACACAGCCCAGGACCGCTCCCTCCCAGGGCAGAGCCCACGGGCCCCTGTGCCACACGTGCGGGACGCGAAGAGCAGACGAGGGGTGCCCCGACTGCTTCCTGCTCCGAAGGACACCCAGCGGCTGCTGCCACCCTCGCCACACCCAGCGGCCTGGCCGCGCACCGTCCGCCGGCAGCTGCCCAGAGCAGGCGGGGGCTGAGTGCCGGCTGCCCTCAGACAGAAGGAGCCCGGGTCGAAGGGGCTGGCTGGCCAGGCCTCACCTGAGGTTCTGGCCCCAGCGCCCCTCCCAGCCCTCACCCCACCTCCAGGCCGTGGTCAGGGGCTCCCTCACACACCATCCTAGGTAACAACCTCAGGGACCCTCTCTCCCAGGCACCATGAGATCAAGGCGAGAAAGAGGGGGCAGGAACCAGTTCCAGGGGCCCCAGCAGCAGCCCCAGGGGGCTTATTTGGGAAGCAGGAAGAGCTCCCAGGTCCCCACGCCTGGGGAGAGAGGCCAAGCAGGGCCTCAGAAGGCAACCCGGAGACCAGAGCAGGCCGCCTGAGAGCCAAGCAGGGCCAAGAGCAGCAAGGGGTCCCCGGGACCTCCTAGGAGGTGCTCCCCAGCACACACCAGCCTGGCGACCCTCCCACAGCCACCTGAGGAAGAGGGGCCGTGAGAAGCGTGAGCCCACTGCACCCGAGGCTCCTCCAGGACCCTGGAGCCTACAGGGGGATCGGCCGGTTGGGCTCGCTCTGTAAGCGGGACCCCATGGGGCAGCCTGGGACCACCCCTGCTCGTCTAAGGGGACTCACCGCTCCCTTGACCCTGTTATCTACAAAGATTCACCTCCTGGGAAAGCAGTTGTGGGATCCACTTCAAAGGCTTCAGGGAATGTGGATCCGTGGGCTCCAGGTGATCCCTGCAGAGCGGAGCACCAGGGCCCCCACCGGGCAGCAGGCTCTCGGGGCCGGGTGCAGCCCCTGCCGGTCACAGGGCAAGTTCCCCAGGAGCCGGGGGTGCCGCCCCAGCGTCCTGACCGCCACCTCTGCGCCCCCTTCTCGTCCATCCTGCAACTACTCACCAGAGCTCACTGCTAGCTTCCGAGCAGCACAGCAGAAGAGCCACAGGCCTGGAAGCAGGCTGAGGAGAAGGCCAAAGAGCTGTGACCCGAGCCTGGGCGAGGGAGACCTCCAACCACCTGTGTGTGCGTGGGGGGCGTTCCCAGGGCATGGGGCAGCCCCTCTCACTCTCGCCGGAGAACCCACCTCCAGGTGCTACTGGGGAAGAAGCCCAAGGCCACGGGGGCAGCGCAGGCCAAGGGAGGCCAGTGCGCACAGCGACCACTCCAGGGCCGCAAGAGGCCAGCTCCCCACCTAGAGGCCCCCTCCCCACCAAGCCCGGCCCCGCCTTCCCCTGCGAGCCTTGGAATTCCCAGGAGCGGGAGCGCCCCGGGCGCCCCCAGAGGCCGGCCACCTGCCCTTCCGGACTCCTCCCTCCTCGCCCGCACCCACGTGCTCGCGGAGGCGGCCCCTCACAGGAAACAGGCACGCACCGACCGCACTGGCGGCGCCCGGGCGGAAGGGCCCGCTCGAGCCCCCAGGCCCCGCCCCCACCCCACCGGCCGGGCAGGCGTCTCCGTCTCCAGGGGTCTCAGTTCGCTCGAGGCCTGGCCACACCCTCCCGGGCCGCGCGCCCCAGGCCCTCCCCTCACTGACGGCGCTGGGGCCTGGAAGCGGCTCCCTCCAGGTTTGACCCCCGCCCCCACCGAGCGCGGGGGGGGGGGGGGGCACTCGCAACCCCACCCGCCCCCACCTGCTTTTCTGGCTCGGCCGCTCCCAGGAGCCCTCCCCCAGCCCAGGTCCCTAACCCTCGGGCGAGGCCCCTCCCAGCAGGAAGCGCAGCCCGGCCGCCGGGCCGAGTCAAACTGGCCCCGCTGGCTGGCAGCCCCTAACCCAGGGGGAGCCAGGCTGGGACCCCGAAGGCCACCAGCCCCAGGCTGTGAGTGAACACCGGGTCCGCAAGGGCGCTGCATGCGCAGCACAGCCCGGGAAACTCACAGAGCCTCCACCTCCCGGCCAAAGGCGCGCCGCTGGGAGGCAAGACTGAGCACCAGAGGGCAGAGACCCAGGCCAGCCCCGCGCACTCGGGATGGGCACCGCATCTATTCTCAAAACACTTCGCTGAGCGGATAAAGGGCCACTGCACAGGCTCGCGGGTGCCCGACAGCAGCGGGGGCGCCGGCTTCGCAGAAGCAGCCACTTACAGGGCCACGCTCCTGTCCCCCTCCTCCTGACTGAACCCTGCCTCGCCTTCCCAGACCACAGGGCTCCCCGTGAACACCCTCCTGCAGCCGGCCGGCCCTCAGCACCTCCTGAGGTGTCCAGGGCACTCCCCCGTGTCACCTCGGGTTCCCGGAGCCAGTGTGCCCAGCGGCTTCCCCAAGCTGAGCTCTGGAGGACCGCGAGATGTGCTGGTGAACTCCAGCCCTGTCCTCACTTTGAAAGCACGTTAGAGACACCGAGGCCCAGAGGAGCCCATCTCGGTCCAAGGCTGCTGGAGAGTAAACAGTGCTGAGGCCAGTGCCCCTCATTGCTCCCAGAGGCCCTCCTCAGTCAGGCGCTCAGGCCAGGACCAGAGAAAGCTGACCTGTGGTCTCCTCTCTGCAGATGCAGCTGGGAACAAGAGCCCTCCCCGCCCCTGTGATCAGTCCCTGGCGGGGGGGCACACCGGCCCTCAGCCCCAGTGGGCAAGGCAGGCCAGCCGTGGGCGGGGCCGACTGCTGGAGGCCACCAGGCCAAGCAGGAGCAGGGCGGCGGGTCCCCTGGGTAAACTGGACTTTATTCCTTCCTCGCTCCGCGACTCTCCAGAACTGCCCTGCCAGCCCTTGCGCGGGGGTGAGCTGCGGCTCAGACACTGCCCCCACCCCGCTGCCACCTCCAGGCAGACAATGAGGACTCGGGGAAGACAGCAGGCCTGTCAGCTCAATAATGCAAAACCCTGTTGCTGAGTCCACGACAGCTGACTTCAAGTGGATCGGAGGCTGTGCTTATTAACAAAACGAGAAACCTGATCCATGGAAAGAAAACACTACGCGGGGATTAATCCAGGGCTGCAGCTCGTGGAGAAGGCCGGGCCGCTGGCCAAGACCGGGCAGGGAGCACGGGACGCGGCCTACCTGTCCCTGGCAGGTACCTGGCTGCAGGACAGGGCACATCACCTTCGCCCCCCTCCTTCCAGCAACTACAGCAATCATTTCAGTTCTGCTTTAATTAAAGGCTTGGCTCCCTCGGGCTGCTTCTTCCTCTCCCCAGAGCCAGCAACCAGAGGGAGATTTTTCTTTTCAGGAATTGCTTGTAAAAGCCGAATGACTAATCTGCAAGTCCCAACAACTGGCAGGAAAACACTGCAGAGAGAAACCCTGGGCACAGCCCCAGCACTCGAGCCAAATGGCCAGAGGAACTGGGCAACGGGCGCTCAGCAACACCCCACAACCGGCCCGCAGCCGGCTGGGAGCCCAAGGGAAACAGACCAACTTGGGAGCGCTGCCGCCAAGGCAGGTGGGAAGCTCCCCGCCAGCCTTCCCAGGCTACTGCCTGCCCACAGGACCTCACAGGACTGACTTCCCTGGCAGGCAGGGCCACTTATTCCAGACCTCAAGTATCAGCCTCTCACCCCCACCCCCCATGGTGCTAAGAGCCAGCTAAACTAGCGATCTCACCGCACAGCTTTGTCTCTGGAGGCCAGCCAGTGGCTAGCCCATCTGCCTTTTTTTTAGACTACTGCAGCGACCCTGCTCTCTGCTGAGCGGAAGCCCACTCCCAGAGCCAGGGCTACAGACCAGCCACATGGCCTGTGCTCTTGAAAATGTCTGCTGAAAGGCCCAGGGAGCCCAGATGCTGGCAGATGGGAACGCAGGAGAAGAGTAAAGCCAGGAGCCAGGAAGCAATAAACGCTAGCTCCAGAAAGGGCCTAGTATGGGTGACACGGCTCCATCCCTACGGCCAGGGGTGGGGGGCCTGGAGAACACCCCCAGCAGCTCTGGAAGGCCCCTCCGCTACCTGCCCCCTCCACCACCCCCCGCCCCGCACAGCCCTGCGTCCATCAGTCAACAATCTTCACCCACAGGATTCCTACGGCAAGGCTCGGCCCCTCCCCCCGCCACAGATGTCAGAGAGAGGGGCGGCCTCCCCGGGTGACGACTCCTCCTGCCGGGTTGGGGGAGCCCGGGACCCTCGCTTATCCAGATGTGCTTGGCAACTCCTACGGGCGAAACACACTGGAGGTGGAGGGGACCCGAAAAACGCGGTATAACTTCGAAACCGTCCCGGCCCGGGCGGATCCACAGCGGGCTCCCTTCCCCGGGGCCGACTCTCCGCTGTTCTGGGTGGGGCCGCTGTGGAGCATTTTATCTGGGCCGCGTCCCCTCCTCCCCGTAAGTCACTAACACCCCCACCCCCAGGGACAGGGATCGCCGCCTCTCCCCCCCAAACACCCCACCCCAGCTCCGCCTGCGTGAGTATGAACCATGCTGGCAGATAAACAGAGAGTGACACGCCGGGCCCTGCGGCCCCCTCCCCCTGCCAGCCGCCCCCTCCCCCAGCCCATCTCTCTTCCTGCCGAGCGGCCGCCTGCACCAGAGGTCTGGGGGCAGGGCCGCGCGCCCACCCGCCGCAGGGCCTGGCCCGGGGGAGAGGCCCCTCCAGGCCGCCCCTGCCCCCGGCCCTGCCCGCGCGCAGCCGTGCCCTGCGGGCAGCGGGCCGGGCACAGCATGAAGCCCCGCGAGGGGCGGCGGCGGCCTAAAGGGGGCCCGCCTGTCAGGCAGCGCGGCTCCCCGGGCCGCTCGGACCGGAGCGCGGAGGAGCAGGCACAAAGAGCCGGCGCCCGCCGCCCGCAAGCCCCGCGCGCCGGGGGCTTTGTGCCGGGCCCCGCCGCCTGCCCCCCTCACTCACACACANCCCCCGCCGCGGGCGGCCAGCGTGGTCCGCAGACGGCCTTGATCTGCAGAAGGAAGCCCTGCAGCCCGCCGGCCCTACCTGCCCCGAGGGCACGGGGGTCCCACTCGCCGAGCCCAGCCGGCCCCTTCCGGTGGTTGCAGCCCCTCGCGGGCCCCTGGGGTCAAGCGACGCGCCCAGGTTGGCAGGCGGGACCCATACGGTTCGGAGGGGCTGGAGCGGGCCAGGGACTGCGACGTGCTCTAGGGGGTCACTTGCTGGACCGCTCCTTACTTTGGACACCAGGTAAATACAGGACATCGCACCTGAAGTCTTTGAGGGGCCCAAGTTTGCCGGCAAAACTAGAAGCGCGTTCTTCCAAATAAACTTGTACGTTTAATGAAACTCTAGTTGGACGGTTATCAGACTTAACAAAATTCTCACTTGACCTGAAAGAGTAAACAGCCCCAAACAGCTATCATTTCCCGCCTTAGGAACGAAAACAGGAACGAGGGTGGACTTGCCCGGACATATGAAAGCAAATGCAGCTACTGCACTCAATTCAGAGCACCCTAACCCAGAAACAGAAAACCTACAGGCAGGTCCCAGAAACGGCAAGAACGCGATGAAAAGGGAGTATGGAACATCAGCGGCGAATCTAAGACACAGGCCAGGAATAAGCTCAGGGGAAGACTTATTGAAGAAACGACTGAAAAGCTGTCAACGCCCTACTAAACCAGAGACATGCACATTAAAACTTCTGTTTGTTTGCTTTTTTAACAAATCGGAAATCAGTTTCAAATGATAACCTTCACACATAGTCAGAGGTCTGGTGGGTAATCATTCTCCTGTACTACTGGAAGCATATAAATTGCCTCAACATTCCTGAACATGAATTTGCCAGTGGAAGCCAAAAATAAAAACGTTTTAAAATGATCATTACTTTGACAGTAATTCTTTTTCTGGAATTTTGTGCTAAGGCAATTAATGGCGTTTGTAGACTGCATGTTTGACTGTCCTCTTTATCCAGACTGGATTCGGAACCCTGGTGCCAGGGAGCACACCTGAGACTTATAGGCACTCCCTGGTCATTCATTTAATTTGCATTTGAAAATTATTATATGGGGGACAATCCTCAGTGTCTTTAATAACATATAACAGAAGAGAATGTGTGTATGTTTAATTGAATCACTTTGCTGTACACTTGAAACTAAAACAACTTTATATATAAATCAGCTGTATTTCAATAAAATATTTTAAAATTAATGTGTGATTATGTTTTTCAAATGCCCTTTGAAAAATCATACACAAAGTAAGTGACAGAAGGGAATAGGTTAAGCTGTCCACAAGAGAGAATGGTGACAGGCACTATGAATGGTATTTATAAGGACATTTTACAATCTAGATGCATGCGAGTGATACGAAGCAAAAAATAATATTTACGTGTTGCATGCAAAGTATTGATCCATGGAAAAGCAAATGAAGAAAATACATCAAAATGTTTACAGAGGTTCTTCCTAGAGTTTGGATTTTTTTCACACAGACAAATTTTAGTGTTGTTTTATTATAAAAATAATATTTCTATTTGGAACAATTTTAGCTATACTGTGTTTTAAAAGATGGGAGGAGTCTCATCCTCCCATCTGTGCTCTGAAGTAACATTACCAGCTGTGCATCCATGCTTCCTTCTCTGATGTCAACATGTATCTCTTCATGTGTCATGAAAAAAGACCTCACTTTTTGAAAAAAAGACCTCACTTTTTTTTGAAACTATAAAATAATACACTATATAAGCGGTAAGTCACTATAAAACCTACGTTTGCCCTTTGCCCCCTAAGACTTATCTCAGACATCTTTCCAATGTGTGTGCCCAGGTTCATTCTCTAATAGCTGAGAACATTGGAGTGTATAAAGTTTCCATAAACACTTCTCTTAAGCATGGCTATGCAGGTTATTTACAGTTTGGAATTTTAAAAAAGAATTTTTTTAAGTCCTTAGATATATATCTTACATATTCCTGGCTTTACATGTGTGGAATAGTTTTCTAGAAGCAAAACCTGTGGGTAAGGGGTATGTGTGTGTTTTCAGTTTGAGTAGTTCCTGCCAGATTTACTTGCCCAAAACGGTGTAGCAATTCAGATCCTACAGATGAGATTTTAATTTTTCCTACCTTTAACTTTCCAAAACATTCCAAATTTTCCATACTTAGTACCTGTTCCTTTTCAAGTCGGGGGAAAAAAATCTGGGGTAAGGGTACGATTTCTAAATCACCATGAGCAAGGCTCTCACCATGCCCCTCCTAGCTGCTGGGCAGTCTCCCATGGTATTCCCACCTCTGCGGTCCGGTCCACTGCCAAGCCCATTTCCTGCCCAAAACTTTATAACATCCAAGTGTGATTATTCTCCCACAGTATCATTACATAGCTACTTAAAAACCCAGTGGAAAGGATTGATGTACAGCGAAAACAGCAGATTTCAAAATTTTGTTTTCACTGACAGCAACCTTGTAAGGCTACATTTGTCTGGAAAGGATCGCGGAACTAGAAAAAGCACACGGTAGCAGGATGGGAGAGCCAGTGGGAGCCAGATATATTCTTCTTGTCTCAGCTCTCTTGATTGTGTGTGTCTGTGCAGAACCTAACCTCTCCGATCACCGTTCCCATCAGTCACTTGGGAATAGTCATGGCACCTGCCTGGGGGTATCCCGGGAGGATCCAGTGACAGGAGGCTGGGTGGGTAGAGCAGAGTCAGGCTCCGGCAAGTCGTGGGCAAAGGAACTGTGCTTGCTGCGTCATGGGGGGTGGCTCAGCAACGAAGGAGAGCTGATCGGCTACATCTTTAAAAAATTGAACTATCGTTGATTTACACTGTTGTGTTAGTTTAGATGTACAGTGCCGTGATTCAGTTCATATACACACACACACACGGCTTTCCAGATGGCTCGTGGTAAAGAAGCTGCCTATCAAGCAGCAGTCTCGGGTTCGATCCCTGGGTCGGGAAGATCCCCTGGAGAAGGAAATGGCTATCCACTCCTGTATTCTTGTCTGGAAAATCCCATGGGCAGAAGAGCCTGGGGGGCTACAGTTCACGGGGTTGAGAAGAGTCAGACACAACTTAGCAACTAAACCACCACCATATACACACAAACACATATATAGTTATTTTTCAAATTCTTGCCCCACATACGTAATTACAAAAAACCAAGAATAGCTCCCTGTGCTACAGTCGGTCCTGGTTGTTTCTCTCTTTTCTATATAGTAGTGTGTATATGTTACTTCCAAATATCTGGGATATCCCTGCCCCGCCCCCACCATCTGCTGCTTCTACCATCATCTCTTCTGATATTAAAAAAAAATGAAAAAATAAAACACAAAATATCCCCAAAGGGTAAATCACTGCTTCTTCACATGACAGCAAGATTTAAAAAATATAGATGCCCGATTAAAATTTGCATCTCAGATAAACAACTAATAATATTTTAATGTAAGTATGTGCCATACAATACCACATCTCACCTCCCTCCCGCCCCCCCATGCCCCGTCCTGCCACCCTGCCCCAAGCCACAGCAGAAAACTCCACTTCTTGTACATGCCGTGACTTCTCCTCCCACCCCCGGGCATGGGCGCCCCGGGCTCCTGCCGCCTGGGCCACCCTTCTTCCTCCCCCCTCCACCTCTGCCTGGAGAGCTCCCACCCAGTTCAGATATCACCCCCTTCAGGAAGGGCCCCCACTGCAATCCCTGGCTGTCTGCCCCGACCCAGCGCGGCTGCTGGACAGGTGCCTTAAGGGCAGGAAGACTGTCTTGTTTGTTCTTGTAGACCCAGTACCCAGCTCATGCCTGACCTCAAACAGGCACGCAATGAAAAGTCAAAACGGTGAGTGAGTCTCTCCAACCCCCTTCCCTCTGCAGCAATGCACCCCATCTGTTGCTTCTCCCAAGCCACGAGGGCCTCATTCATTCCCATCACAAGGGGCGGCGTGGCAGGCGGTTACAAACAGCAGACACACAACGGACAGAGTGGCGCTGGGTCGCCCAGCAAGGAAATTGAATTTCCCTTGGAAGGGCAGCAATTCCACCTGAATCTGAGATGCTGGTACTGGCGGCCAAGACTCTAGGGACTGGCAAAGCATGTCACACGCCTGGGCTTGCTGCTCTTCGACATCACAGGAGAGGCATGTGTTACTGCCCCACTTTACAGGTGAGGCTCAGAAACGTTGAGATCACCCTCCCCAGGTTCCACAGTGGAACACAGCCCCAACTCTGACAGGCAGCCTCTCAAAACATCTGAAGAAAGGCTGCTCCCACACACCTTCCGTCCAGTGAAAGCCCTGCCTGGGGACAGGGTCTCCCCCCTCACCAGCCCCCTCCCATCACTTTGCAGTCCCGCAGCCCCAGGCAGAGCCAGGCACCCTGAACCCCAGAGAGGCCACAACCCTCGAGTGTCATTCAAGCAGACGCCCTGCCCAGGACTGTGATCACAAACAATCTGGGGCACGTGGGAATGAATGAATAGGTGCGACCCAAACGCCAGACTCTGGGTGGGAGGCAGGGTGAGCAGAGGGTACAAACCCCTGATGGGAAAGAAAGCTTCGCGGGGCACCCAGACGAGGAGGCAGGCAGGGTGGGTGTCAGACGCAGAGACTCATCGGGGTGTGCGATGAGAGCTGGGAGGTGGGCAAAGTTGTCAGCCTGGGCCAGCATCTGGGGTCTTGAAAAAATATGTGCGGGAGAGCCTGGCCAACCGGTAACCCAGAGGAGGCAAGACAGCCCTGGAGCCCAGCCGAAGGCGAGGCCACCATCCCTAGACAGGATGGGAGGGGCGGAAGGTTTGTACTGTTAAGTCGGCGGAGACAGTCCGCCAAGTGAGAGAAGCAAGATCCAGAAAAATGTGGACCATGTCATCACCTTTACGGGTTTTAGAAATTATAAATGTGTCTCCATTCCTAGTGTTCAGTCGCTAAGTCGTGTCTGAATCTTTTGTGACCCTGTGGACCGTAGCCCGCCAGGCTCCTCAGTCCATGGAATTCTCCAGGCAAGAGCACTGGAGTGGCTTGCCGTTTCCTTCTCCAGGGGAATCTTCCTGACCCAGGGATTGAACCGGCATCTCCTGCTTGGCAGGCAGATTCTTCACCCCTGAGCCACCAGGAAAGCCTGCTTCCATTCCTATATATGGTTGTAAATTCCTAAAGAAAGCCTGGGCAGGAGACCCATGGGAGTAGTGGGTGTGGGGGAAGGGTGGGGAGCAGGCCTTCACCTTTAACTCAAGGTGCTCCCGTGTTGTTGGATCGCCACCATCATGTCTATGTACTACTTCTGTTATTTCTTTATTTAGAAAAACAGGGAATTCCTAGGTGGTCCAGTGGTTAAGACTCTGCACTTCCACTGCAGGGGGTGTGGGTTCATTCCCTGCTTGGGGAACTACTGACATCCCACACGTGGCACAGCACAGCCAAAAAAGAAAGAAAGAAAGAAAGAGAATGAACCAGGAAGTAAAGCCAAAAATCTCAGGGACGCCTCCCCTTCTTGGAAAGCTCTGCTGGCCCCCTACTTGCTTGCAAACTCCCGCAGGCCTGCGCCCCGCGCTCCTGGTCACCCCGCACCTCGCTCCCCAGGTTCCTGGTAGCCTCCACCGTCAGAATGCCAGGGTTGTTGTGAGATCTGTCTGCAGGAGACTGCAGCCCGGGTGCCTGGACCCGGTGAGTGGACGGACGAAGGTGGGGACCGATCCTGGCTCTGAGCAGGGGAGGCTGGCAGGCCTGTGTCTGGAGAAGCCCATGGAGTGGCAATTGGAACAGGATCCAGATCCTGGCCGGGCCACTGACTAGCCGGCTGCCCTTGAGCTGACCTCCACCAGCGTTGATTTCCCTGCCTGTGAAATGGGGTTGCGAGCAGTCTCTACTCATATGGCTCAGGTGGGCCGGCAGGGCCTGTCGAT